CAAGCAAAAGCAAAAAAACTATTATCCCCCTCAACAGTGCTTTAAAAGCCTCTAAGCCGTTCACAGTCAGTGTATTGTCCCCAACAATCTGGGTCCTCATTTTATCGACCTCAGAAAGATGGAAGACTGAAGTCAACCTCGAGCCGGTGAGATTCAAACTGCTGGCAATCAGCAGTCAGCAGAAGTAGTCTACAGTGCTGCATTCTAACCACTGTGCCACTGCAGCTCTTTTGTGGATTGTCGCATGATGCTCTTGTTTGATGGCTATGCTCTCTGGATATTCTGGGAATATCTCCCAAATTTAGGAAAAGAGGAAGGGTGTTTTATTTCCAATGTTCTTGCAGGTAATCCTCAATTTACACTTCATTAGCATCTGTTCAAAGTTACACCACTGAAAAATTGAACTTAAAGCCAATTTTGACACATTCATTGCAGCATCCCCATAGTCATGTGATCAAAATTCAGACGCTTGGCAATTGACTCATTTATGACGGTTGCAGTGTCCTGGGGTCAGAAGATCTGATATTCTGACAAGCAAAGTCAGTGGGGAAGCCAGATTCACTTAACAACTATGTTAATAACAGTGATTCACTTAACAACTGTGGCAAGAAAGGTCATAAAATGGGGCAAAACTCACTTAACAAATGTCTCTACTATTCTGTCTCCCCATACCACTTGGGTGCCATCTTAAAGGGTTTTCCATAAATCATATTGCTTTGCTTATCTTACTTGCTTATTTGGGTGATAAGTATGAACCTGCAGAGTTAATATTCAGGGAATATTGAGAAGGAAAAATCTACTGGGGGCAGAAAAGCAATGAAAAGAATAGAATAAGAGCAGGAGCAAAATACTTAATCTTGGTGCAATTGGGAAGCATCGAGATAGGGAACTCCTTTAGATATTGTTCAGCAACAATTATCCCTAACTATTGGCCATGTTAAGTGGAACTGTAGCAACTCTTAAGCTGTGTGTATTTCAACTCCCAAATCAGCCATTGGTGTACAGCTGTGATGGCGAACCTATGGTGCACGGCGCCCTTTCTGATGGCATATGAGCCGTTGCCCCAGTTCAGCTCTGCCGCTCATGGGCACACGCCGCCTGCTGGCCAGCTGATCTTCGGGTCTGCCGCACATGTGTGGTGAGTGGGGTGGGTGGGTGTGCCGGGGGGACGCACACGCATATGCAGGGGTCACATATGCATGCACAGGGGGGTGCACGCGTAGGGGTGTGCACATTGAATTTTAGGAATTCGCATGTGTGCGCTTTGGGCACTCGGTCTGGAAAAGGTTAGCAATTACTGGTTTATAGTATTCTATAGTGGGGGTTTCTTAGTAAATAATCATTAATTTTTGTTAATTTGGAAGAGTTTATAGGCAATACATGAAATTACATAAGCAATGTCCTCATACCAATTAAAG